CGCAGTGCCAGCGCTGCGACGCCGCGGACCCCCGGCTGCACCACAACGCCTCCTACCTCACCGACTTCCACAGCCAAGACGACAGCACCTGGTGGCAGAGCCCGACCATGGCCTTCAGTGTGCAGTACCCCACCTCCGTCAACATCACCCTCCGCCTGGGTAAGCGCGGGTTCGAGGCACCACCACCAGCTCGTCCCCTGTCCCCACCCCACTGCGGGTCCGAGGCAAGAGGCCGCAGCTGATGTGCGCCCTGGCTCGGCTGTAGGACTCAGATTTGGGGAGCTCAGGAACTGGACCTGTCCCCCAATAGCTGGAAAGGTAGACTGATGGGATCCCCTGGGGTTGGGAGGGGCGGGAAGCCTCCTGGAGCCCTTTACAGAGCAGCGGACCATGCCCTGCGATGGCGGCCATCTAGACCCAGAGCCGTGGGGGGACAGGGGGAGGCGACCCACCAGGGGGTGAGCTAGTCTGCCCTTCAGGGCAGGAGCCTAATCGTGGTCATCTGGTCCACTTCCGGGCCTCAGCGACTCCCCAAGGCTGTGTGCGGCCCCTGGGGTGTTCTCGGGGTACCAGCCTGGGCATTCATCCCTGGGGAGTTTAGCCTTCCCAGCAGGAGCTGCGCTTCATGCTGCTGCTGGGTAGCTGGATCCCATAGCGTGGCCTCCCTGCTCTGCCTCCCTCTACCCAACCCCATGGCAAGGTGCAGGAGCTTTACAGGTCCTGGGAGTCACAACCCAGGGTCTGGACCCAGCCCTTGGCTCCCTCGCCGGACCCCTCTCTCCTCCCCCTCCAAGTCCAGCCCAGTCCAGGTCCTCCTGGAGCCCCCCAGCTGTGCCGGGTCCTGAGCTAAGCGTCTGATCTGTGCAGCCCCCACGGCCCCTTCAGAGTGGGTGGGTGCTTCCATTGGTCCACACGCCCTTATTTGTGTGTCCAAATCTCCTAACACTTTGAAAACTCACAAGTATTTTTATAACTCATTTTGGCTGCTAAGTCTGACCTGAGGCTATTTATAGACCTTGTTTATCCTACTTAGAGTGAATATTCATACACTTAGCTGCTGAAATCTCATTTGCGTACAGCCCATGGTCCTGGACACAGCTGGGTGTTCACACGTCCACTGCGGAAGGACAGCATCATCTCTGTAGATTCTGAAAAGTTCGGCTGGAGCCCAGCAGTTTGGAGAAGGGATTATGGGACCGTATCCCCATTTTTCAGATGAGAACATTGAGGCTCAGAGAGGTTCAGTGTTTTGCCCAAAGGCACACTGCTGCCAAATGGCAGTCTGAATACAAACATGTGTGTACGGTGTGTCCAAGGTCAGGGCCTGAGGTCCCAGACGTGAGCTCCAGCCGTCAGTGGAGTGGGCTCTTCCTAGCCCTGGGGGACAGCGCCTGGGGGACGGTGGGGAGATGACAGTCAGTGAGGTGGAGGGACACAGGGTCCCTTCCGTGAGCATGCTGGTTGCCGCCCCAAGAAACTCAGCTCCCTGGGCCTTGTCACCTTCTCTCGGCTTGTCAGAGTGGGGCACGGTCCCTACCCTGGCAAGTGACAGGAAACCAGTGGGGGAGGAAGGCGGGGGGAGCTGGCTGGACAGGGCTGGCAGGACCCCAAGGCCACAGGGGAAGGAATCTGGGACAGGGTGGGGGCTGTGGAGGAGACGTGCCGTTCCATGACGGAGGGTGGGAGTTTGGCTGATGGCTTACACATGTCGGTGGAATCCCGGGGCAGACAAGGGGCTCGGCCCAGGCACCAGCAGTGGGAGGGGCCGGGAAGTGTCTGGATCCAGGGGCGGCTCCCGCGTGCCCCGCGCCGGTGTGTGGCGGTGCCCGGCCCTGCGTGTCAGCTGTGTGGCCTCGTCCAGCCTCGCCCAGAACATTTAGCAGCAGAGCGGTTTCCATCCCTCTAAAACCAGGGGTCCCAGGGCTCAGAGAAGCCACGCTGAGTAGAGCCGAGGGCTTACACACTTATACACACTCACCTTCACACACACATTCTCACACTCACCTTCACGAACTCATACACATTCACACCCATACTCACCTTCACGCACACACACACACATCCGCACAGACACGTTCTTATAGACATGCTCTCACGTACTGTCTTACATACTCTTACACACTCAAGCTCACACACACGGGTGTGTCTCTGGAAGTGTTTGTACAGTGAACAAAGGAATGAATGAATGAATGAATGAATGAACGACTGTGTCGCCTCCTCCATTCTCTGCTCTGGGCCCAGCTCAGGGCTCTTGCCGGCTCCGGAAGACAGAATAGGGCCCGAATCACAAAACAGGGTTCGCCCTGAGGCCCGGCCCGGCCACAGAGCGGGCATGTGCCGTCACCTCCCCAGGCCTCGGGTTCTCTGTGAAATGGGGGTAAGAGTGGCCGCCTCCTATCAGCTGGGCAGGTCCTGTAGCTCAGGCCAGCCAGGTGCTCACCAGTGTCACTCTGCTGACAGCAGCTCGGGGCTGAGATTTCCCTGGGGTGGCCTCTGTGAAGGGATGGGGACATGCTCGCCAACCTGGCTCCCGAAAGACATCCTGAGCCAGTTACACATGTGGGGCGCCGGAGCCCCCCACAGCCCCAGAGCTGGCCCCCTTTGGTCCACTGGACTTTGGTCTGCCCCATGCTGGGCCATGGCTTCATAATACTGGGGGGAGACGAGGCTGAGGTTGTCACAGTGTTTTCAGGGGAAGCCTGCAGCCAGGCCAGGTGGGCCGGGGACGTCTCCTCCTGGTCCTCAGGCCACCTCTGCTGGCTCCATTCCCCTCTCTGGACAGCTTTGCTCGTGGGAGGGGAGAGTGGGTGGCCGCTGGCCTGGGGTCTCCTCGGGGGAGTGGACCGAGGGGCAGGCGAGGGAGGGCAGCCAGTCAGCCCCAGGACGGAGGTCTCTGCTTTCCCAGCCCCCTGCGAGCTCACAGACATCTGGTCCAAATCCCCGAGTTGCTAAGCTGAGCCTTCCTGTCTGGGATGAAAGGCGGCAGCCGCTCTGGCTCTGGCGGCCCCTAGCCCTTCACTGTCGTCCTGGGAGGGGGTGGGCTGGGACCTGGTGGGGGATGGGGGATGTTGGGGGGGCGTGAGTGGTCATCAAGGTTGACAGAAACAAATCAGGGGGTTCTCACCATGTACTGAGAACACCACTGAGTTGGCACCCCAACTCAGCAAGGTTTGTTCTTTTATAGACAGGGAAACTGAGGTTCTAAGGATGAAGTCAGTTGCCCCAGGTCACGCAGTCAGTAAATGGCAGGCCCTGGGACCCTCCCCCAACTGCGCTCCCCCTGGGAATGATACAGGTTCAGGTGAGGCAGGTCGGAGCCCACGTCTGGCTGGGGTGGGGCTATCTCCTTGTACACTTTCTTAGATTCCAGGGAATCTTCTGGAATGACAGAAAGACCCTTGAGTCTCCGAGTCTCTGGGCAGATGAGTTCTGAGTCCCCGAGCGAGGGGGGAGTTGCAGGAGGAGGGCTGGTGGGCCCAGGAACGATGTGACACTCACAGAGTAAAGGGGCCTCGCTGGGGTCTGAAGGGTGGCAGGAGTTGACGTAAGAATGAAGGACATTCCAGGTCAGGGCACGGCACTGGGGAGCCAAGAGGCCGCTTGCTGTGTCTGTCCTCGGACCCACACAGCGCAGATGGATGGAGCAGAGGGGACAAAGAGACAATGGGACCTGGCTCTGGTCGGGGCTGGATGGCAGGAGGACCCTGCTGGCCCCCGAGGAGCCTGAGCCAGCTGGGTCTCCTGAGCTTCGGCTTTGTTGCGTCTTCCTGTTGAGTGGGCGGCCGTGTTTGCATTGGCCGGGGCCGGTTCTGGGGGGCCAAGTCCTCCTTCCTGCTCCCTGGGGGTTCCAGCTGGAACGCTGGGCCCCAGGCAGGTCAGGGGGTCAAGGCAGCAGCCCTGGTTAGCCTCCACCCACAGAAGCAGCCCCCCGACTACCTCTGGGCCCAGCTGGCCCCGGCCCCTTCGCCCCCCCTGCACTTCCCAGGAGTGACCCAGGAGTTACAGCGGGGGTCATTCCCAAAGCCCAGGAAGCATGTGGATGGCTTCCAGGTCACCTCTGCCCCGCCTCCCTCTCTGGCTTCAGCCCGCTGCTCTTCAGTAGGGCCTTGATAGTCTCCCCTCCCGGTATTTGTGTACGTGGGGGCCTCTGCTCGCATGCTTTCTCCCCCTGCCTCCTGGATAAACCCGCGCCTCATTCATAAACGAAACTGCTGAGTGCCTACTGTGCGCCCGTCCCTGTACCAAGCCCCAGGGATGCGGCCGTGGATAAGAGCTGTCTGTCCCTCTCAGCTGAGGGGTGACTTCCTCCAGGAAGCCCCTCGGCCCCCAGGATTGGGCAGAGGGCCTTTCCGTGCCTTCTCGCTGCCCCTCACGCTTTCCCCATCACGGTCTGGGTGGTGCTGCCTCGAGGTGTCGGTTCGTTTGTGTGGATCGGGCCCCGAGGTGCAGAGGGCATGCCTGTTTTCACAGCTGGACCCAGAGCCCAGCACAAGCCCCCTGTGCAGTGGGGCTCGGGAAGGGTCGGTCAAGCCCGCGGATGCGGTGGGAGCTGTCATTCCGCCGTGTGCGTGCTGTGTGCCTGGGGCCGTGCTCAGCGCTTGGCAGGCAGGAACTCGCTAAGTCCCGTCGTCCTTTTGCCCTTTTTACAAACGGGGAAACCGAGTCACTGTGTTCCAGGCCACGACCCAGTTTGGCCGAGGCCACGTTGCCGGTAGGAGCTGGATGTGAACCGCATTTCCCTGGGAACAAAGGAGCGAGTGAACGAATGCAGGAATGAATGACTCCCCAGCCTTCCAGAAACTTCCAAACTCTTAAGCTGTGGCATTCACAGGGCCCCAGCCTTCCTCTTAGCCCTGCCCCCACTCACGCTCACCCTGGGCCCCAGCCACGTCACCTCCCTCCCTTCCCCTGCTCCCCCGCAGCTCCGTGCCAGCCCTGCCGCCCGCTGCCCCTCTCCCCGTGTCATGCCCCTGGCTTTGCCTGTTGGGATCGCGGCCGGCGTGTGGGACTCCACTGAACCTCTCACCCAGTGTCCCCGCCCCGAGTCCTTGACCGAGTAGTTCACACGTCCTTCTGCGTGTCAGTCCTCGGATGTCACACGCCGCCTCAAACTTAGCATCCAAAAGTGGAAGCACCCGTGTTCATAACGGCATAGTTCGCAGCAGCCAGAGCGGAAGCACCCCAGCGTTCACTGGCGAAGGAGCAGGCAAAACGAGGTGCACGTGCACAGTGCCTGAGTATTCGGCCTTAACAGGAAGGAGATTCTGACAGATGCTCCCACGTGGGCGAAGCTTGAAGAGACACGATGCTAAGTGAAATAAGCCAGACGCAGAAGGACAAATACTAGATGATTCCGCTTACGTGAGGTCCACAGCAGGGGCTAATTTCGTGGAGACAGAGAGCAGAATGAGGGGTGCGGGGGGCTGGGCGGGGGGAGAGGGGAGGAGAGTGGCCATTGAACTGGGAGTTTCGTGTGGGGAAGATGCAGAGGATTCTGGGGGTGAGCGTTGGTGGTGGGGACACAACACTGTGAGTGTACGCAATGCGCAATGCCAGCGAACCGTGCGCCTGAAAAATTTTAAGAGGGTGAGTTTTAGGTTATGTGTTTAAAATCAAAAAGCAGAGGCACCCTCCTCCTCCCTCAGTCTCTCCCTCTACGCCGCGGAGCTATTCTCTCTCTGCTCTTTTTGTCATCGAGATCACGAGGTCATTCTCTGGAACGTTCTTTGCATTTGCCCTCCTCGTCATTCACACTCAGCCCCCCCTCGGCTCCCTGATTTATCGGGCTGGTCTTGAATGACCTACGACCTCTCTGCAGACTCGGAGTGTGCGTGTCTCAGTCATGTCTAAGTTCAGAACGGACCTCAGAACCCTTCGCGCAGAGCCCTGGGCCATCATCGATCACATAAAACCTGTTCGTTCTCCCCAGGGTAGGCCATAGGCGTGACGATCTTGTTCCGTATTTGGAGTTTAGACCCTTGGCCCAAAGGTGAGAGAACTGTGATGGGCCCAGCCCTGATTCAGCCGGGCTGTCCTGGTGCCTGGCGCTGTGATTGTGGGAATTCTCCAGCTCCTAACAGGGGTTCGTTGTGCCCCAGATTGCCAGAGCCGGGCCGGGAGAGGAAGACAGGGACAGTGGACGGCCAGATGACAGTGCTGTGGGCTCTGCCGTGATCCCCCCAGACGCTGGAGCAGCTTTCTCCGCCTGGTTCCGTTGCCAGCTGGGGGCAGGGGAGCCTCACCCACAAGTTCCCAGCTCAGCTTCTCACCCTGCCCCTTCCCCCCCACCCCCACCCCAGGCCACTGCTCCCCAGATGGCTCCAATTAAAGGGCTTTGTTTTGTTTCCATTTTCCCAAAATAAGCCTCTCCATTCGGAGCTCATTCTGCTTGGCCAGTGCCGGATGTGGGCCGGCCTGGTTTTGTGACCGCCCTGGTGTCATTGTGTCCCAGCTGGGTTGGAGGGGACACGGCTTGGTGCTCCTGGTGCCATCTTCATGGGCACCAGCACCCTTCCTGGGCAGTCCCTTCTCTCTGGACACCTACAGAGCCCCGAACAGGGGAACCTGTTCTGGGCAGCGAGTTTGGGGGCCAGACAGGCTTGCAGCTAAGTAGAGACCTGGCTGTTTTTTGCATGACGTTGGGCAAAAGTCCCTTGTTAGTAAAACATGCACAATGATGCTTCTGTTTGGGGATGTGGCGATACGGTACGCGTGAAGCACTTAGCAAGGTGCCTGGCACATAGTAGGTGCTCACTAAATGTTGGCTGTTGTTAAACAGACTCATTCTGGGGTCAGGACTTGGAGACACAATGTGGCAGTGTCAGCATGTTGTCAGGCCTGCCTGTCTCGACTCGCTCACTGGATTATAAACTCCTTGAAAGTACAAATCATGCTTTGTCTTTACTTGTTCACAGGGAAACGTTTAGTTAGCATCTACTCTGCACCAGGCTCTGTGCTCAGTTCTGGGGATTCACAGCTCCTGTCCTAAGGAGGTCACAGACTAGTGGCAGAGATAGGCAGATCTTAACAGAACAGGATGAGGAAGCCCAGGGCAGCTGGGAGAGCCTAGCAAGACACCCAGATCCATGGCTCCAAGGCTGAGTTGCCATCAGCCAGGAGAGGTGGGGGAAGGGTGCCTCACGCTGGGCTGAGGCTGGGGTGTGTGGCCAGTCTGCTACACCAGCCGGATGAGCAGGATGCGTGGGAGCCAGCCAGGTGAGGCACAGAGGGGACAGCATACTGGACAGCTGGGAGGTGAGATCATGTGCGCCCCCAAGCATTGTCACCCCCAATTAACCGCTTGGGGATGACATTTCGGTCCAGCTGTCCTGCCAGGAGCACACCTGTCTCCACATCACCCTGAAGCCCCGTCCATCAGCCCCTGGGGCTCACAAGGGTCTGAGTCGAGGCTGCGAATTCAATTCTTGCCGATGCTTGGAGGATCTTGGGGTGGGTTCCTCCCCCAGCCTTCCGGTTGCCTTTGGCAGACAGCTTTTCATCACAAAGCGGGGATTAAGTTGCTTTCTGGGCTCTTCTAATTAACTCTTGTAACAGAAAGTTCCTGCTGCGTCTCCGCGATGCCGTGCACCTCCTCTCACCTCCTGGCTTGGCAAGGAAGAGCAGAAGCAGCACGCGATGGTGCTCGTTTGCATGAAATCCCAGGGACGGCCTTTTCCCCATCAGGCTTCTAGCTGCCAGCTACCTTTTAAGTGGCTCCAAGCTCCCCTTCCGTGAGGTGTCTGGCGGTTAGATGTTTATGGAGGAGTCTGGCTCGTACACCACCAGAGCCTCCACACAGCGTCTTTCCGTGAATGCGCATCTGGGGTGAGTCCCTGACTGGTTCTGACGCTTGAAGCTGCTCCGAGAAGCGGCCACCATGCTGTCTGGGACACGTGCTTTCTTAAGAGGACTTGGGGTTACAGTGCCAACCCGTGCTGCCACGGAACTTGAAAAACATCTTAAAACATAACATGGCCAGGCGGTTGCTTGAAAAAAAAATTTTTTTAAACATGTGTTCTCCAGTTTTTAAATTAGAACAGGTTTCACGAGAGAAAATCGAGAAAAGGCAGAACAATTAAAAAGGGAAGAAAAGTTACTCGGCGTGCTCTGTCCTAGGGATAGTCACACTATTTGTTTGACGTCTTTCTTTCCTGCCCATTCTCTTTAAACGTAATCTGGTGATTCTGAAGGTGAGATCTTGCGTTTTCTTTTTCATTCAATGTTTTGACTTAAGCGGTTCCCCTGTATTACAGACTCATTGACGGCTGTTTCAACGGTTTCGATCATCTGTGAATTTGTTTATTGAACCTTATGGTTCAAGTTTTTCCCCATTATAAAAAAGAAAAAGAAAAACAAAACACCTTGATGATGGCTATTTCTATGGGTTTCGTTTCCATGTTTGACTTCCCAGAAGTGGGATTCTTGTAACAAAGGCCGGAAATATTTTTAGGGCTCTTCATCCGTGTCACCAAACTGCATTCCCTAAGGTCCCGACAGATATATATTTTTTTTCCAATTTTTTTTTTTATTGAAGTAAAATGCACATAACATGAACTTTGCTGTCTTAACCGTTTTTGGGTGCACAGTTCAGTGGCATTCAATCCACGCGCACTGTCGTGCGGCCACCCCGCCCCCAGCACCAGCAGGCTCTCATCTTCCCGACCTGAAATTTCGCCCCCATCAAACACCACTAACGTCCCAGCCCCTCCCCCAGCCGCTGGCGCCCACCGTTCTCTCTGTCTCCGTGGATTTGCCTGTTCAGGACATTTCCTCCACGTGGGCGTGTACACCACGTCGTCTCTCGGGTTTCATTTCTTTCATTTTCCACACTGTTTTCAGGGTCCGTTCACGTCGTAGCGGAATTAGCGCCGAGGGTCCCTGATGGCTGATGGTTCGACTTCCGGTTTTCCAACTCTACGATGGTACAAAAGTGATACGCATTCAGTCACTGGGGCGGAATGAGGCCAAAGGCACAGGTGGAAGGGTTGGCTTTGTTGGGATGTAGTAAAAGAAATAGCTTTCTCACGGTAGAGCAGGCCTCTGTCGGATGGGGCAACATCCCATTGCTGGAGCTTTGGATCAGAAGATCCGAATTCAAGCGAAGACGCGGCTGCCTGTCAGGGGTCCTCCACGGCAGAGTCCTGTGTAGGGAGGCAAGTTGGCCTAGGTAAGGGATGGCACGTACCTGGGAAGCGAGGAAACGTCTTCTGCGGGGCCCCGACAGGCATCACTCACTGATCCCAGGGCAGAGTTCCGGACAGCCTCTAGCGATCCCCTCAAGGCCGTTGATGGGGCACAGACGTTCTGCTCCCCCCGGACCAGGCTTCCGGCTCTCCCTTCCCTTCGGTAAAATGGCCCGTGTCGTCCCACTGCAGGGAAAGCTTACGAGATCACCTACGTGCGGCTGAAGTTCCACACCAGCCGTCCCGAGAGCTTCGCCGTGTACAAGCGCAGCCGAGCGGGCGCGCCCTGGGAGCCCTACCAGTACTACAGCGCCTCCTGCCAGAAGACCTACGGCAGGCCCGAGGGCCAGTACCTGCGCCCCGGCCAGGACGAGCGCGTGGCCTTCTGCACCTCTGAGTTCAGCGACATCTCGCCCCTGAGCGGGGGCAACGTGGCGTTTTCCACCCTGGAGGGCCGTCCCAGCGCCTACAGCTTCGAGGACAGCCCCGTGCTGCAGGTCAGAGAGAGGCTCTGTTGTGCCTGGACCTTCTGTGGGCACCTGGCCACGACAGGTGCAAGGGGGCCACGTGGTCGAAGGGGAGTGCCCCTTTCCTTGCCTCCCACGTCGGGAGCCGGGGGACACTTTCTTAAGAGGCTGGGGAAACTGAGGCCTGGCGTGGGGAAGGGGTTTTCCAGGGGCTCCCGTGAGTTGGTGGAGGGGCCCAGACTAGAGTTCCGACTCCTGGCCAGTGCTCCTTCCGGAGCCCCGTCCCGCCGGCCTCCCGTCCTCTCTCTGTGAGCCGACGACCCCGCCTGCCCTGTGTGTCTCCAGGGGCTCTGACGAGGATAAAGTGGGACATGTGAAAAGAACACGAGTTTTGGAATCAGGGTCCTGGGTCCCGAGTTGGGTCCTGGTCCAGTAGAACGCTGTGCAGTGCCAGAAACGGTCTGTAGAACCCTTGACTAGCATGGCTGAGGAACTGGATTATAAATTTTTTTTATTTTAATGAACTTTAAGTAACCACATGTGGCTAGCAGTTGCCACGTTGGACCTATAAAGTCACCTATAAAGTGGCCAGTGCTCGGCCCGTAAGAGGCGCTCATACACGCTTTGAAGATAGAGTCACAGTAGGTCACTGTCACCGTCGTGGCGGAGAGGGCGGCAGGCCTGTGGCTGTGTGCATTCAGCACGGCCCGCCCTGGGCAGCCCACCCGGGTCTGTTCAGCTTTGCAGTCACAGTGATGTGGTGACCCGGTTGATGTTTCCGGGCGTTGGACGCCCTCCTGTCCTCTCCCCGTGTTCAGACAGACCTCTGCCGAGAAGGTCTGTCATCTCGTCCCCTCGCACGTTCAGAGCATTTGCTCCGCCTGCCTGGGACGACGAGGGGCTGGGACCAGAATCCCGCTTCTTTCCAGAAGGGACGCTGAGGCCCAGGAAGAAGTCGTGTCCCACCCAGGCTGCCCAGACATGGCATCAGCTGGTTCACGTCCCCGAGACCACCCTCAGGTTCAGTGGTTTTTCTGGAGGGACTCACAGAGCTCAGAAAAGCTGCCGTCTTCACTGACGGTCTATTACAGTGAAAAGGTGCACATTACAGCCAGCAATGGGAAAGGGGGCGTGGGGCAGGGCCCCGGAGACACCAGGCTTGGGGCGGCCACCTTTCCTCTCCCAGGGGCATCCTGGGGACATCGCTTATTTCTCCCAGCAGCGATGTGTGACAACACATAGGCCATTGCCAACCAGGAAGCTCACCTTCGCCTTGGCGTCCAGGGTCTTTATTGGGATTGGCTGCGTAGACATGGCCGACCGCCTGCAGAGCTAACCGTAGTCTCCAGCCCCCCGAGAGGTCAAGCTGACCCCACATGCCCCAAGCTGACTACCAGGTGGCCCTAGATACCAGGCGAACAGAGACACTTGTATCAAGCAGGACATTCTAATGGCTTAGAGGTGACCCCAGGAGTGGGGTGGCAAAAGCCAGACCTCTCTTTGGGAAAAGTTAATCCTTCGTGGCACAGAGTCACAGTTCCAGATGCCCGGGCCCCATTCGCCTCATTGAAAACGTTCACGCGTCATCATGATGATTCTGTTTAAAATGACAGTTTCTCCTCCACGGGTTCCAAGCTCCGCAGATCAGAAAGCATCAGCCAAGGTCATTTGAAGACAAGCAGAATAGCCGGGCCCCACGCTGCCGGCACCTGAGACGCAGTCTCCCTGGGCAGCGGCTTCAGCCGAGACCCTGGCAGCGGGTTCCGTGACTTGTTGCCTCGTGTGTCTTGGACGTTGTCGCTGATAGAGAGACAACCTCAGAAATGCCCCCTCCTGCTGCCGCCCCCAGGCGGAAGCCAAGGTCAGGGAAGGACAAAGAAAGGCCAAGCCACTGCGCCCTCCCTTCTCTCCTGTCTCCTCCGGGCACACCCAGGGTGGCGTGTCCTCTGAGCACACGGAGCATTTTGGGGTGGGAGGTAACGAAGGATGCCTTTTGAAGGAAGCTGCTGGGTCTTGGATCTCTCTGTCCCCCGAGGGGCCAAGGCCTTTGGGGAGAAGGCCAACTCGGCCGGCACAGAATCGGGTGACAGAGCTGAGGGGCCCCGAACTGCTCCATCCTGGGGTGTTGGCTGGGGCAGAATCGCTGCCCCCGAGAGCCGAAGCTCTGCCTCCCGCTCTCCCTTCTCACTGCGTTCTGGACCCCAGGGTCGGTCCAGAGTCAGCCCAGAGGGGGTCACGAGTTGAAGGAGCCCGTTGCCTGTGTACGTGGGGGCTTTGGATTGCCTTAAAATGACCTCTAAGGGGTCTCCAACCCCCAGGCCGCAGACTGATACTGGTCTGTGGCCTGTAAGGAACAGGGCCACGCAGCAGAAGATGAGCAGTGGGCGAGTGAGCAAAGCTTCGTCTGTATCTGCAGCCGCCCCCAGCGCCAGCATCACCGCCTCAGCTCCGCCTCAGGTCCTCAGGCGTTAAATTCTCATGGGAGCCCCGGGTCCCTGGTTGGGGACCACTGCTCTGAGACATGAGAGGGTGGGGCACACAGTTTGGGCTAAGGGAACAAATCCCCCTGCTCTCTCCCAGCGTCTCAGGGAGCTGAGGACTGTTCTCATTGTCTTCGCAGACTGAGGAAGCAGGTCCTAGGCCACAAAGCCGACGTTGGAACCCGGAGGAGGGTCGTGTGGGCTGGACACCCCGGGCAGGTCATTGCCCGCTGGGCCCCCTGGTATGACGAGGGTGTTGGGGTAGATGCAGGAAGCCAGGCCGCCTAATGGTTACAGCCTGGACCCTGAGGCCAGACAGACCCGAACCGCAGCCCTACTGTGTGCCAGCTGTGCACCTTGGAGCAGAACACTTACCCTCCCTGAGCCTCAGCCCCCTCACCTGCAGAATGGGGGTGATAACAGTACCTACTCTTAGGATTAGTCTGAGGACCCGAGCCACAACCACACAGTGTCACCTGCTGCCCCTCCCAGCACGGACATCAGCAGGTTTGAGGTCTCTAGGTGGCACTTTGTCTGGAGAAAGCATCAAGCGAAGGACCTTCACCTGTGCGCTGCTGGGTTTCCCGCCCAGGCTTTTGCTCCTTGCTCCTCAGCTGCCCCAGGGACCAGCAGCATCAGCATCACCTGGGCCCTCATTAGAAATGCAGAGTCGCGGGCCCCGCCCCAGACCTCAGAAGCTGTGTTTTCACCGGATCCCTGAACACACACTGACATTTGAGAAGTGGTTCGGGGAGT